CTTCATCATCGTCGTCATCGCCTAGAGAATTCGATAGTTCAAGTTCTCGAAGGCGCTCTGTCGAGACATCTTCGAGATCTTCGGGAATTGGTATGGATTTGCGCGCGAAATACAGAATGACACGGAATGCTGCGATGGGTCGATCGAGGACTGTACCATCGAGTTCGCACACGATGTACGCGCCGCCCTTGTTGCACGAGACAACGATGAGGGGGCCTAGATATCGCGGGCGCATCTTGCAGTTAAGGGACTTCTCGATCTTTGTGTTGCATATGAGCACTAGGGCTCCACGTTTGAAGTCGAAATCTTGGATCGAGTGCTCGTGCTCTTTCTTGAAGTGAATTGCTGCAGTCCGACGTGCTTCGTAGACCTTCGAGTGGAGTTCGGCGACTTGCTCGACGCGTTTCTGAAGCGCAATGGCCCTACGGGCGATGAGATCGGTCGTCGAAAGGACTGAAGTCGGTGGTGGTTGCAGGTACGTAGCTTCGACGATGTCAAGAGGAATGAGCAGATGGGTGCCCGTAACAGCGAAGTAGGGTGAGCAGCCCATGCGTCGTCGAGTCGTGATGCGCTCGGACCAAAATACAAAGTACGCAGCTTGGGACCATTTCTTCTCATCTCTGTCGGCTGTCTTGAACAAGGCTTGTCGCGTGCTGAAATGCGGACGTTCGACCAGACCGTTCGCCCTCGAATTGTACCCACTGATTTGAATATGGTTGATGTGGTATTTCTTCGAAAGGTAATCGGCCGCCTTGATAAATGCTGTACCGTTGTTGGTGACGATCTCACTGAGCGCACCCCATCGACAGAGGATGTCTTTGAAGATCCAGTTGGCGAGGGCCTTTGCTGTCTCTTTTCGAAGCATTCGAAACTCGGGGTAAGTTGTGAGCGAGCATCTACCTTGGACCAAGTACTTGTACCCGCCCGAGGCCGGCATGTGCATTGTGTCGATGTGAATTTTCGCGAAGATGGGGGCTGGTACTGCAACGGTTGGAGGAATGAGGATTTGACGCACTTGTCAAGACTGGCAGATATGGCACGATCGAACGAACCAAGCGATGTCGGCGTAGTGGAATGGCCACCAGAATCGCTCATTGACGAAGGCTCGGGTTGCATAGATTCCTCGATGCGCGGTGCGGTCGTGGCATTCTCGAAGTATTCGAAGGCGATTGCCGGGCTTGACGACTAGCTTGTGTGCTCCGTGACTGTCCTTGCGCCAGAGGGTGTCGTTGTCGAGGAAGAATTGCATGCAGTACTTGATGAACCCTTCGTAAATGCTTTTGGAGATGCCGTGGGGCTTCGCTAATGTTCGATGAAATTCGAGCATGTCGTCGAGCTTCGCGTCGGCGAGTTGCGCTTGCTCCGATCGAGGCACTAGCTCGTAGCTATCCTCCTCCCTATTGAAATCTGAGCCGTCCTCGGCTCGGTCATTGGCGAAGATGGCAAGCGAAGGTACAGGCGGGAGGGGCTGAATCTGGTGAACGAAAGAATGCATCTGGTCGATCCAATCGTCGAACTCTTCGTCGACCTCGTCCTCGATGACATCACCGGGCTGAGCTGGGCGTCGAGAGAGGCCGTCAGGGCCATGCATTGTACCGGGGACGTGGACTAGCGTGAAATGGAATATGAGAATCGAGACGATCCACCGGTTAATACTCGCGCTTGGGGCTATGTCCGGATTCTTCAGCATACCCTTGATGTACCGAGCATCGACTTTGACGATGAGGTTCCGAACGCCGATCAGGTAGAGTCGAAGGGATTGTAGCGCGCGAAATAGGCCGTAGATCTCGAGCTTTGGCTGTGAAAACCTCCATTCGCGATCGTTGAGCGTGATCAAGCCGAACCTGCTGTAGTAATGGACTCGCGTGTTGGCTTCGTCGCACTGGCAGAGGTGATATCCGACGGCGATGAACAACGTGTCAACTGCGAGAATGACGGGAGAGGGGGAATGTCACAAGTTGACACGGTGTCTAGCCGTTTTTTAATTTTTTCCTTTTCGCGGGCTTGAACCCGCGACCTCTGTACTACATACCTGATATGGACACGTCGTTATCTACTATACGATCAGATTAGATAGGACGGCAGTGCACGGCACAGCTCGGGCCCCGCTGATGCAGCTGCTCTGACTCACCGGCCCCCGGGGCCGCGTCGGCATGCTGCGCACGGACCAGCTGCGCACGGACCAACGCGCACAGCCTGCCCTTATCTCCCCATGTATATAAGCCGGCCTCTGCTGCCCTAGGGACCTCAGTTTCGACCTCTTGTCCCTAGGTCAGTAAGCCCTCCTTTGTATTCCTTTCTTACCTTACTAACTAATACATTCACTTGTCCCTAGCCTTAGGTTTGAGCCTTGCTCACCATCGCTTCGGTAAGAACCAGTCGAACGCCCCCAGCATCCTTCAAAGTCTGTGTTTCCCCTGTTGCTCGACCCTAAGTTGCGACAGGGAATCATAACTAATGGCTCGGAGTGCGGGGGATGAGAGTAGCGCGTCCTTGAGGTCTTCCTGCGCCGCAATTTGCTCCGGTCCGAACTCGAACTCGACATCCTTCCTCGTGAGGCGTACGAGCGCGTCGGCGCGGTGAGCGAAATTACGGATGAAGATTCGAATGACGCTGATGGTCCGGAGGAACGCTCGAACGTCGGATAGAGTAGCGCATGGACCCCAGTTGCGTATCGAAGCGACGCGAGAGTTGTCGGGGAGGCGTCCTTGAGGAGTGCAGCGATGTCCTACCACCATGATTTCTCGAGCGATGAGGACACTTTTGACTCCAGAGAAGGTACCTCCGGCGTAGCGCATTCGAGTGACCACGCGGTTCATGTTCTCGAAATGCTCCCATACGAAGCGTCGAATGCCGCAGTTCGAAGGGAGCCGCTCGTCGTCGTAGTCGGATTCAGGACCCTTGACGGGAACATCGTCGACGTAGGGCACCATAACGTGCGGAATCTCGGGCTGTAGGATGTAGGTGATGTCATTGTGGAAGATCGGGACTGAGTTCGTCCAACCCATCGGGAGTGTCACCAGGCGCATGGCTCCGTAGGGTGTCTGAAACGTCGTTAGATCTCTCGAAGACTCGGCAATGAGTCGTTCGTCGTAGCCGATGTAGAGGTCGAGCATGCCACCGCATGGTCTTCCTCCGAATTGTTCTGCGAGATATTTGGGCGTCGGCGGTACACCAGAATGTTGGATCGTGACTGCATTAAGGGGCTCGAGGGAATGGACGAGTCGAAGAGATTTACCGTCCTTCTTGACGACACAGAACCAACGCGATCGATACGATGAGTTCGACGGTTCGTAGACTCTGGTGGCGATCTTTCGCTTGACCACCGCGCAGACTTCGTTGTAGATTCCGGGCGGAATGGGAATATTCTTCTGCACCCATGGCGTGTGAGGAACGACGGGGAAATCGACGGAGGGGAAGTACTCGGGCTTGAAGCATCCGCGCTCGTCGTCGGTCCATGCGAAGGCTTCATTGTGCAAGCACATGAAGTGGTGGAGGACTCGACGTTCTTCGGGAAGTAGGAAGTCGCCGTCGTGAAGCTTATCAGTTGCTTCGAAGCGTTCGAGGGTGTACCGACCGGTAGGTTTGAACGGCGGAGGGTTGGTCGAAAGCTTAGGCATGATGGAGAGAGGGTCGCCCTTGATGTCTCGAAGTATTCGAAATTGTTCGGGGACGGCACCAAGGACGGGTCGGGTTTTGAGAGCAACAGGCTTGTATTTCTTCTTTGTCGCAGCGAGGATCTTGTGCATTGAAGGGGTAGAAGTCGATGTCGTCGAAGGAAAGGGAAGAATTGAGTTGGAAAGCTGCGAGATGGACTTCGTCGGAAGGGGAGCTGGGGGAGTCGAAGCAAACGGAGCTGAAAATAGAAGAGTCGAAGCCCACGTCGAAGCGTTCGACGGAGCGGCATTAGAAGTTGTACTGTCTGAGGTGTAAAGAGACTGAAAATATGATGAGACAGAGGTGCATGCGGAGAGGTACAGTGACGAAACAGTGTTCAGAGTCGAGGAATCAATCGGAGAGACAAAGGAAATACTCGGGTTTACCCCATCGTAGTCGATGACTAGTGCGGCTTCTCCTTGATCATGGGGAATCAATTCCTCGAAGCGAGAAAATGCGATTTGCGACACCCGAGAGGATGCTGCCGGCTTCACGATCTTCCTCATGCGTACGTCGGAATTGTGACGGTTTTGCCAGTGTTCGGACAGAGGATCGTAATGGTCTGGTTCTTGTCGGCGAAGTTCTTGACGACGCTTTGCGTGAGCATGTCAAATGGTCGGCCAAGGAGGATGTCGTACGCTGCGTTTCGAATGACGTGAGCCTGAAGATACAATACAATCTCACCGATGTGGAAGGGAACATTTCGAATGAGTCCCAGCGATCGGTCCACCTCGCCGTTCGCCGATTGCATGTTCAGCTGGATAGTAGGATCGAAGAGGAGGTTAAGGCCCAGACAGACCTCTTCCGACATGGCGACGATCTGCGACCCGGGGTCGACGATGCATTCGATTTGCTCCTTGTTGTCGACCAATGCGATGATCAAACGAATCGCATTCGAATCGCGTGCGACGGTGAATTCTGCGGGGTGCTCGCTGTGAGGGATGTGCTTCAGATAGGTTTCATAGGGGTCGGGGACGATTGTAGCACCGGGTTCCAACGTTGCACCTGAACACGAGAGCTGGTTGACGGCCGTGACCTCGTCGGCGCCGATTTCTACGATGTGGGCCGATGCGATGGGTTCCGTCGAGACTCGCTTAGGGGTGACGGCGTCGCGATACTTGTTTCGAACGTTGGGCGCGATCGAAAGCAACTCTTCTGGGGTCAGCATGACGAACTGCGACTTCATCGAACACTAGAAGATTTCTTCGGCGAGCTTTGGCTGGATAACGGGGACGATGGTCTTGTACGCTGGCTCCTTGCCCTTGTCGTTCGAGGGCTTTGGCGGAGTTGCGAAGTTTTGAACGTTCGGCGGGGTGTAGGTTGCGTCACGAGCGTTTGCGAAAGGGTGTACTGGTGGTGCTGGAGGAGCGGACATAGTAGTAGGTCGAGACGTGGATTGCGTAGGCGAGGAGGAAGACGGCGCGGGTGCTGCTGCTGGTATCGTCGGAGGCGGGGCCGTGCTTGTCGAAGTGCTCGGGGGTGCCGCCACTCCTTTTGATGTACCAGATCCCGAGGCTTCCGTGCTTCTCGT